ACCGACTGAGCCACCCAGGTGCCCCTAAATGTTTTTATTTTTGAGAGAGAGTGAGCAGGGGAGGGGCAGAGAGACGTAGAAAGAGAATCCCAGGCAGGCTCTGCACTGACAGTAGAGAGCCCAATGTGGGGCTCAAACTCAAGAACCATGAGATCATGACCTGAGCAGAAGTCAGATGCTTAACCTACTGAGCCACCTAGGCTCCCCAAAAAAGAAGAGAAGCTTTAAGAAGCCAGGTTTTTGTTTTCTTTTTTTTAAACATGGATTTACATGTCAGTCCATTCACTTACAAAATAAGTCTTAAGGTATTTTGGGGGGAAATTTTTTTTTGTTTTTTGTTTTTGTAAAAGGACCTGTGCATACAAATTGGTGTAGAATAAAGCAAAACTGAGAGAGATAGAATTCTCTTATTTTTAATGTTTATTTTTGAGAGGGTGCAAGTTGGGGAGGGCTAGGGAGGGGAGAAAAGAGAATTAGAAGCGGGCTGTGCGCTGGTAGTCTGACAGCAGCAAGCCTGATTTGGGGCTCGAACTCATAAACCGTGAGATCATGACCCAAGTCAAAGTCAGACGCTCAACCAGCTAAGCCACCCAGGTGCCCCAAGTCTGAAGGATTTTTAAAGCTGATGAGTTTGTACCATTCAAATCAGAAACTCTTGTTTTGAACTATGTTTGCTACGTTGTTTTTTATTAATATTATATTTTTAAAATATTTATTTTTGAGAGAGCATTAGCGGGGGAAGGGCAGAAAGAGAGAGAGAAAAAGAGAAAGAAAGAATCCCAAGCAGGTTCTGCACTGTCCGGGGTGAGCCTGACATGGGGCTCAAACTCACAAACTGTGAGATCATAACCTGAACTGGAATCGAGAGTCAGATGCTTTAACCAACTGAGCCACCCAGGCGACCTATTGTTTTTCCTGAATATCTGCTTTTGGCTTTCTAAAAAATTATAATTTTTCTTTTTTTTTCCTATATAAAGTTCCTAATATTTTTAAGGATCTGAGAAATGTTATATTGGACCAGTGTTTTTGAATTTGATGGTTGATACCATTAGACCTTTTCTGAGGGATGATGGTGTATAATTTTCCTTATGTGAAATCAGGAGCTAACCATTAATGGATAATTGGTGCACACCTCAACTTAACTATTTAATATGCAAACAAATATTTTTTACTATATAACTGTTTCATTTGAGATTGTTGGGTAATCCTTTTTTTTGGAAGTAGATTTATCTAGCAATAACAAGTCCATATTATCTGTCTAAATTATTCATGGTCTGAAAGACTTCATAGTCATATTTGTAAGCTTTTTATTTATTCAGAATACAGTTATCAGTATTTTCCTATCTTTAAAAGAAATCTAATAATTTTAATAATTTATATTTATATTTAAAATCTAATCATTTTAATTGCCTAATTTCCTTTTTAGTTCCCTTGTGTATTTATTAAGGTATGGGGGTATGTGAAATTTTCTAGTTATAGGTACATGATAATTGTATATGAGAGGAAGATATTTATGTATTGAACATGACTTACTTAAAAGAAAACTTGAATATTTTTCTAATATTTTACAAAGAACTTGAGTTTTTTGTATCCCTAAATCTAAGGTTAGTGTACCATAAATTAATTTTATAATTGATATAAAACTAGACTAAAACCTGAACCATTCGATATTTCAGTTATAATTATCTTAATGTTTTCTCTGAAGCATATTAATACATAAACTGGAAAAATAATCTTTATTTCACTTAGAAATTTAGCTGGGGAAAATTATAAAAGATAAATTCAAATACTCTACATATTTTGTTTCTTGTGCTCTATATAATTTTGTCTTAATAACATTAAAGAAGACCATGAATATCTTTTTAAAACTTAAACTTGTTAACCTTTTTACCAGGAATTTTGTGATCCTAAAATAAGTTGTGCTTTTTGTTCCCTGAAACTACTGACAGTCTAAAGAATGTTAAGCTTAATTGGAAAGCTAATGGATAGCAAATGTCATCTTTCTTATCATCATAACCATTAATATATATAGCCAATTCATTGGAGATAAGGGGTAGATATTTTTGTCAGTTATTTATTAAAGTTCATATTTTTTATGTGAAATTCTTCTACCTGACATCCCCCTTCTTTAAACATCGTGATTTAGAAAACAAAGAAAAATAAAAATTTTAGAGGTTGCAAGCCATGAATGAATGAAGATTAATTGAAGATGAGCTTTGTAAAGCCAAATTGCATATTACGGGTCACAAGGAGTGTGTGTGTGTGTGTGTGCGTGTGTGTGCATGGACACATGTGTGCACACGTGTGTTTACTTGGTATGTTTGGTAGATGCATTGCCAGTTGCAGAGCCGTGCTAACCCACCTCATGTGGGACGGACACACACAGACACACACACACCATTAGTGTATATATGTGTGGTACATACCACACGAGTAGTATATGTACTGTATGAGAGCACTCTGGCTATATCCTTTTATATTTTCAGAAAGAAAAATTTTATCTAGTTTTCTTTCTAAAAATTGACGTTATATTTTTAGTGTTGCATATGGATTTCAGAAAAACTGAAAAGTAGACACTCCGTTTTCAAAGCAACATTCAACACATGTATTTGTGTCTGTTAAGAAATATGTATGGGAAACTTGAATCTGGGTGACTCATTGTTTTGATAATGTGTTTCTAATGTGTTTGTACATTTTTTTAAAAAACCTTATAACTAAGGTAGAAATGTTACCCTTGACATATTTAAATTCAAAAAAGTGTTTTGAACTATAGCAGTTCCTGTGATATCAGTTTGTTTAATGCATTGGGAAGAGTTTTTCATTTTTTAATACTTCATAGAAGAGTTTTTCAAATGGCTAATATTGGATCTTTATATTTAGCTCTTCAAATATTAGTATTTTGAGAATGAAGAACTATAAGTAAAATCCACTTATGGAGAATTTCTATTTACTTTTAAGTTTTTGTTTGTTGCATTTAGAAAATATCTGCCCATTATCATCAGTGTATTTTTTTTTTTGCAAGTAATTTACTTTCCCCAAAATGTGCTTAAAATTGTTTTTCTGGCATAATTGTTTGGATTGTGAAATGTTCATGATTTATTTTAATATTGTAAAAAAAAAGTATAAGTTATTGCATCTTCTGTATTGATTTCATGTGAATAATTTACCATTTCTTTCTGTTTTCCATTGAACTATTCAGTGGTCGGTGAAGATGGTAAGCCTTATGTGCTGATCTATATACTGTGCCAACATTAAATAATCTCAAAACTTTTTTTTTTTTTTAAGTTTATTCTGAGAGAGAGAGAGAGAGAGAGAGAGAGCGAGCGAGCGAGCATGAGCTGGGGAGGGGCAGATAGGGAGACAGAGGATTCCAAGCAGGCTCCATGCTGTCAGCACAGAGCCTTGTGTGGGGCTCAAACTCCCAAACCACAAGATCATGACCTGAGCTGAAATCAAGAGTCAGACACTTCACACCCAGGTGCCACTCAAAACGTTGTTTTTTTTTTTTTTTTTTTTTTTTTTTTTTTTTTTTTTTTATTCAGACTAAGTAGTAAGGTACAACCTTACGTTTTCACCTTGTATGTGTCTTTTCTTGTTATAATTTGATCCATAGTCCAACATATGCCAGTATTTCTTGATGTCATAAAATTCTAAAATAATATGGTTAACTTTAATCAACCTATTAAGTTCCTAAATGTTACTGAGTGGAGTCCTTGTCATGTTACAGAGCATAAAATTATAGTTAATTATTAAGTTACATGGTAGAACAAAAGTTCATATTTTTACACAAGGAAAATTAAAAATGATTTTTAATGTCTTTTAAAAAGATTGTATACATGTTATTTGTAGTTTATCACAAGAATCATTAGATTTTCAAAATAGTAAGAAAGAAAATTTCCTACTAATTTCATTAGAGAGTCAGTACTTTCTTCTGTAGTACTGAATGGGAATAAAAGCACACATAACCTAAATTATAGTATGTGCTTGTGCAGTTGTGGGTGAGTGTGTGTGTGTGTGTGTGTGTGTGTGTGTGTGTGTGTGAGAGAGAGAGATGGTCCTTTATACATTTCAATCACATTAATGGAACTACATTGTGAAGACCTAACCCCCAAATCATTGGGGGTTGCATAGTTTCTTATTTTTAGAAAGTAGACCACTCTCTTTCAGACCAGTTTCTTTCAGACTTTCAGTTTAGCCTTTTTAAAATGTATTCCCTTGTAGTAGAAGTTGTCAATAAATACCTTACAGGTCTTTATATCCATTGGAAATAGAGTGTTTAGCTCTCAAATTCTATAAAAGAATAGGTTATGTCAAAATGGGATATTAGAAATGCTTTCATACCTACTGTTACTAAATTTGAGAACAAGGTTTGATTAGGGGTAAGTGGGAAGCAGGCAGGTTTACTTACAGGTAATTGTGAGTTTATTGTAATAATACCAAAAAATACCCACATTGAAATATATTTCTTTACTTCACTAGATAGTTTTTCAAAATTTTAAGAAATATTTAAAAATATATAGATTAAAAGTTTTATCTTTGGCACATATATAATACTTTTCAAAACCTACATCTGAAGTTAGATTAAAACCGACAACTTACATTAATAATTGACCCCTAAATTTAAAGGCACCTTAGGAAATTCTGCCATTCATTTATTTAGGTCAGATTTGGTTGATTGACATTTTATTATTTCTGCTACTTGGTAGATTAAAAAACCAAAGCCACTTAGACAGGATGCCCTATTTTTTAAGGTGAGCTTGTTGAATATCCATAATGTATAGGCCACTTGGGGAAAATTCTGGAGATTCTGTTATTAATGAAATGTTAACCTTTGATCATGGTTCCATCCTAAGAGTGAGTTTTCTCTTTTTTTAAAAGTCAGGGAAACATTCTTATAGATGGTGAAATAAAGCTACTAAGTATGTTATAGGCATAAATGGCCCAGAGAACAAGGATGAGTTTCATTTCAACAATACTTTAAAAATTGAACTGGCATATTCTTCAAATCACCATTTAATTTTCTTTTAATTTTTTTTTTTTTTTAACGTTTATTATTGAAAGAGAGAGAGCGTGAGCAGGGGAGGGGCAGAGGGAGAGGGAGACACAGAATCTGAAGCAGGCTCCAGGCTCTGAGCTGTCAGCACAGAGCCCGACGCGGGGCTCAAAGTCACAAACCGTGAGATCATGACCTGAGCCGAAGTCGGATGCTTAACCGACTGAGCCACTCAGGCACCCCTCATATCGCCATTTTAAAAAGAAAAATGAAGAGTGATAGGTATCATCAATTTTTGGAGTGTATCAAAACTTATGTAAATATGGGTTTATGGTAAATAGAATCAATAGTTGCTAATATTGGCTCTGTTGTGTAACCTCTAATATGAGTGACATGATTAACATTTAAGATGGGAAAGACATAATTTGAATCAGAAGTTTACAACTAAATACTAGTACTTTTTCCTAAATGATAGTTTCTTGCATATTAAAACATTAAAAATTTTTCAAACATCAAGCATCTTTCCTAAAGAAGGATCACATCTTTAATCTTTGGATTTTATCTTTCTTTTGGGAAAAACTGAGGTATGTTATTGGTTGTACAAAAGGATAATTGAAAATAAACTCCTTATTAGAATAATTTCTACTTTGAGTTCACACAATGGATAGTTTTACCTTTTGTATGTTTTGGTTCTAAAGAGTGGTTTAATAAGTGTAATCATTCAGAGACTATGCAATATTAAAATATATTTCACCAGTTAGATTATCTCTGTGAGGTAAGTTGCCTACTTATTTGTATAAGCTTTTCATATTTGCAGTCTGAACATTCACAGTATTTGATTTGGGAATGTGGTGATGTTATATAAAGAACAATAATTTGTATAGGTGAGAAATGTTATGTGTTTCCATTTTGTTGTTGTTGCTGTAAGAAGGTTCATATGTATTTATTTTAACTGCCAATACCTGAAAATGATGTGATAGTGGTCATTACCAATTTTCTTTATCTGGTTATATTTTTACCTGTTCTATTTCATGATTTCATAAACTGGAATTCAAGCTTTGTTCAATATAGTTGTTTTAATTTACATACACATATCTGTGTAGATTTCTTCTTAAAAGTTTGGGGCTAATTTTAAATTAAACTTAAAACTGATGTGTATTTTTATTTTATAGTGGGTATATTTAAAAAAGAAAATTTCCTCAAGATGTCTTTTATAATTTAGATTCTCTTTTCAGGGCCCAGCACTGGAAGATTTCAGTCATCTGCCACCAGAACAGAGACGTAAAAAACTACAGCAACGTATCGATGAACTTAACAGAGAACTACAAAAAGAATCAGACCAAAAGTATTCTTCTATTAAGTCTTTTTTACCATTATTATTCCTTTCTGGGTATACTTTGAATGATATGTTTAAATGTGATGTATCGAAGATATAAAAATCATATATCCTAATTAAAATATCTTTTGAGGGAAAAATACACTCCTAAACTTTGCAAAATTTTATGGTTGCTGTGTGATAAATAAAAATGAAATGTTAGTTTCTTAGGTTGCAGTTTACTTATTGGATGATAATAGTCCATGTCCTCAGTAATATTGCAAAACAGTTTAATGGTTCATTATCAACAGCAGTTTTCACCAACATTAACGGCCTCTTACACCTTGATACATTTCATTTTGCTTTGATACATAAATTGAGCTCAGTAGAAACCTAAGGCTATAATTATTTTGTTTGCAGCAAGTTAGCATACAGTACTTGATTACTTATAGCTTCAGATTCATTGACTCATTGCTGTAATTTTTTTTCAATTTTATAAAAAGTTTCCTTTGGTTCAGTTTTGTTTTAATGAACAGATATTTATGATGAATAAAGGGTTATTACAGTGAATTGGTGCCTTTACTGTCTGCTTTTATAGTAAAGATAAAATTGGAGCTTAAACCATAGCATGAGTGATTGAAAGTTTTTGGAGGGTTTTGTTTTTGTTTTTTTTGTAGCTCAGGCAGTTTCGTTCCAGATTTTTTTTTTTTTTTTTTAATTGAAGTATAGTTGACACGCATCACATTAGTTTCAGGTGTAGAAATGATTGAAATTTTGATGTTAAGAATTGTACATCAGGTATAATGGGATGCTTAATCATAAATGAAACACTGTAATATAGTTAATTCTCATTATTTGTGGTAGTTATGTTTTTTTAATTTTTATTTATTTTTTTAATTTACATCCAAGTTAGCATATAGTGCAACAGTGATTTCAGAAGGAGATTCCTTAATGCCCCTTACCCACTTACCCCATCCTCCCTCTCACAACCCCTCCAGTAACCATCTGTTTGTTCTCCATATTTAAGAGTCTCTTACGTTTTGTCCCCCTCCCTGTTTTTGTATTATTTTTGCTTCCCTTCCCTTATGTTCATCTGTTTTGTATCTTAAAGTTATACGAGTGAAGTCATATGATATTTGTCTTTCTCTAATTTTGCTTAGCATAATAACACCCTCTAGTTCCATCCATGTAGTTGAAAATGGCAAGATTTCATTCTTTTTGATTGCTGAGTAATACTCCATTGTGTGTGTGTGTGTGTGTGTGTGTGTGTGTGTGTGTGTGTGTGTACACACACACACACACACACATCTTTATCCATTCATCCATCAATGGACATTTGGGCTCTTTCCATACTTTGGCTATTGTTGATAGTGCTACTATAAACATTGGGGTGCATGTGTCCCTTTGAGACAGCACACCTGTATCCCATGGATAAATGCCTAGTAGTGCAATTGCTGGGTCGTATGGCAATTCTGTTCTTACTGTTTCCACAGTGGCTGCACCAGCTTGCATTCCCACCAACAATGCAAAAGAGATCCTCTGTCTCTGCATCCTCGCCAACATCTGTTGTTGCCTGAATTGTTCATGTTAGCCATTCTGGCAGGTGTGAGGTGGTATCTCATTGTGGTTTTGCTTTGTATTTCCCTGATGATGAGTGATGTTGAGTTTTTTTTCATATGTTGGCCATCAGAGTGTCTTCTTTGAAGAAGCATCTATTCATATCTTTTGCCCATTTCTTCATTGGATTGTTTGTTTCTTGGGTGTTGAGTTTGATAAGTTCTTTATAGATTTTGGATACTGACCCTTTATCTGATATGTCGTTTGCAAATATCTTCTCCCACTCTGTTGGTTGCCTTTTAGTTTTGCTGATTGTTTCCTTTGCTGTGTAGAAGCTTTTTATTTTGGTGAGGTCACAGTAGTTCATTTTTGCTTTTGTTTCCCTTGCCTCTGGAGATGTGTAGGGTAAGAAGTTGCTGCAGCTGAGGTCAAAGAGGTTTTTGTCTGCTTTCTCCTCAAGGATTTTGATGGCTTCCTGTCTTACATTTAGGTCTTTCATCCATTTTGAGTTTCTTTTTGTGTATGGTGTAACAAAGTGGTCTAGGTTCATTTTTCTGCATGTTGCTGTCCAGTTTTTCCAGCATGTGGTAGTTATGTACTATAAAGTTATTGTGAGCACTGAATTCGTGAAGACTGAAATGGAAAATATAGGTTTAAGGCTCCATTTAGCCTCTGGCCACAACATTTTCATCACCTGGTCAGTTATAACCTTGTTTTATGTGTGTTTCTATTTGAAGACTCATTATAATATATACTGTTGGTTTATTAACTTTGAACTCAGGGCTGATAGCACTGTAACTCATGCCTGAACAAAGTCTATCTAACCACATAACATTTTTTCCATAAGGCATCTCACAGCCTTCTTGCACTTAGAAACACTAGACAGTACTTCAGCACTACACTTAGGGGCTTATTTTAAAAAGAAAAAGCAATGAAGAGCACAGAATTAAAAAAAAAAAAAAAAGGCACTAGATGGACCCCGAAAAGGATACTTGTTCAGAGTGTCTAAAACTTAGGAAAGAAAGAAGGCTGAAATTACTCAAATCTTCTAAAGATAGGTGATATTAAAATAGTAGAGTCAATTATTTTTCAGTAAAACTAGAAAGTAGAAGGGATCGTTTTCAAAAAGACGTATAAGATGAGATGAGAAGAAACCTCTGTCATTTTATGTAACACATTTAAAGGATGAGCAGAAGTTGAGAAAGAGCCACTGAAGGACATTATGAGACAGTAGAGGTGAGAAGAAAGGAAAAGAAAATGTAACTTCTAGGAAATTAAGAAGGAAAAGAGTTGTTAGCCAGTAATGTCAGATATTAGAGGAAGTCAGAGTGCTGATTGAGGCATACATAACCTACAGTGGTGTGATTAGAGAAATGAGGAGGAGATGAATGAGCTGGGAGAGGGTCAAGTTAAAGATGTATTCCTGTTTCTAGCATGGATGAGTGGGAGGCCAAAGATGCTGTGAACTAAGGAGGAATATATGTCTATGGAGGAATATAATGAATTTGATTTGGGACATGATGAGTTTAAGAATATTGAGGAATATTCTTCCAGTCCTTGATTAAACCTATATAAATACAAAGACACATATGTGTGTGTGTGTGTGTGTATATACACACACAATATACATATATGTAATATATACTTACATATATTACATATATAAAATCTCATAAATGAGAAGCAAGAAATGAAAAATCTCTTTTTTTATTCCAAATGTTTTAAGACGGTCTTCATAAATTGCCCACTCTATACAATCATCTTTATGCACATTATCTGTAAACAGGTAATGTTTAACTATATTTAAAGAGATGTTATTACTCTCTTAAGATAGGCTACATGAGAGCCCCCCCAAATCAAATGAAACTCTTTTATCTGGGAACATATGAAGTGAATATTTAATTCTGTGACTTCCTTCTCATTTTCAGAGAAGCACTCAACAAAATGAAAGATGTGTATGAGAAAAATCCACAAATGGGGGATCCAGGGAGTTTGCAGCCTAAATTAGCAGAGACCATGAATAACATTGACCGCCTACGAATGGAAATCCACAAGAATGAGGTAGGTTTGTTACTTTGCAGTTGTCTAAGACAAATTCATTTGTATAAACTTCATTATGATAGATTGATTTTTGCTACAATTTTATCTTCAAATATTTAATTTTAGGGTTACTATCTAAAAGAAAGGAATCATTATGGTCTATAATCTTTAGAATTAGTCCCTCATTCAAGTTTTTCTTTTTAATTAAAACTTTATGTAAAACTAAACATTTATGCTTATCAGCTATGAAGTTGATCGTTGGTCAAACTGGAATAAAGGTTTCCATTCTCTAAGAATTACATAATTATAAAAACTCAAAGCACATTTTAATTGTAGACTATCTTTTGAGCTTTTAAGAATACTTACTAAGCCCAGTTTTATTTATTTTTTTCCTAAGGCTTGGCTCTCTGAAGTTGAAGGGAAAACAGGTGGGAGAGGAGACAGAAGACATAGCAGTGACATAAATCATCTTGTAACACAGGGACGAGAAAGGTCACTTTTTGCATTTTATTTGTATTTTTTTCCCTCAAACTTTTTTCACTTTTTTCTAAATTTCGTTCTAAATTTTGTTCTAAAATTCATTCTAAATTTCATACAGTTCTTTTTCTTCTTCCTTGATGTAATGGGTTTGGCTTTTAATAGCGTTAGTCTTATGAACCTAAATGATTTTCTGTTTCTTTACAGTAGTTACACATAAAATATGAAATTTCCCATTGCTGGTTTGTTCTAGTTTGTCATGCATCCAAAAACAAAGGTATGAACATAGAAAATTTGTGGAGCTACTGTCTGAAGGCATAGGCTCCTCAGACCTGGGAAGATTCCCTTAAGGTTTAGATGGAGTTGGATGGCTTATGCCGAAGAAAAACTTAACTGTTAAATTGCTTAAAGTTTTGTGAAGGAAAAAACAATATTGTTAGTTTGAGTCAGAGCTTCCAAAAGGCATTTTGCTAAGTTTCCATGCTTTCATATCATTTGTGACAATTTCCCCCTCTGTGTATATGTCTCTCCCCACTCTGCCCCCACTAAGAGCCAACAAATTAGAATTCTCCTTAGAGAAAATTTGAGAGATCTAGTATCAAATCTTGGTTACTACTTACAGTGTAATTTGAGCAAGTCATTTTTAATGATCTCTGAGTCCTAGTTTCCTAAAATACAGAGGTTAAAATCTCTATCATACAGGGGTGCCTGGATGGCTCAGTTGGTTAAGCGTCGTCTGACTCTTGATTTTAGCTCAGGTCATGAACTCCCCTTTTGTGAGATCAGCCTTGCATTGGGCTCTGCCCTGACAGCACAGAGCATGCTTGGGATTCTCTCCTCCACTCTCCCCTTCCCATTCTCTATCTCAAAAATGCATAAACTTGAAATAGAAAAATAAAATACCTACCATATAGTGTTATTAGTAATAAATGAAGTAATGTACATAGAGCACCTCATAATAAAATACCTGGGAACAGTATGTGCTTGAGAAATGTTAGTTCTTCCTTCTCAAACTCTTATCACTTTTTGAAAGAGTACCTGTATATCAAGAGAAACCCACAAATATACTGGTTTTCTTACTAGTTAAAACCTAGATTAAAGTAATCTAATCTCTCTTGTTTGTGTTATTTAAGAACGTGGCTTTTAGGCATACTAAAAGTGCTTTTAATTTCTGATCATACAGATTTTCCATTATCTTGTTCAGTCATTTGATTCTTTAGCAAAATTAACATTTTTTCTCTCTTTGACTTAAAAATATTTTAAGGAAAAAGATGCCTATGGGTTTACCTGTTCTTTTGGATTTTCTGAGTTTTACTAACCTCCCTGTTAGCATGATTAATTGGAAGTTAACTTTATTAGGAGTCTTTTTGCTTTCAGTGACAATAAATATGAAAAGGGATTTTATTGGCTTGCTTTAGGGAGAGCTTGATCTAAGAGCTCAGATGATATCCGCAGGACTGTTTCTCTCCACCTCACAGTTCTACCTTCCACTATATTGGCTTCATTTGAAGGCTTCATATGGTGATCTTCCAAAGCACTGGGCTCATATTTCTCCAGGTCCAAGTCCAGTGGAAAAGGAAGGGAGGGAGCTTCTCTTCAGTCCTAAGGAAAAGTCTCTGTGGGTCTTTTCTATCTGACCAGGTTATAAGCCTACTTGTTAACTATTCACTCTGACCACACAAGTGCTGTGCTGAGACGGGCCCTCTGGAGCCAGGACAGAACTCCCCAGGAAGTCTGTGAACTGACCATAGGTCTGGGTGGGTCTCCTGTGGAATTTTAGGGTTCTTTTGCCAAAAGAGGAGGTGATAAATCCGGGATGATGAAAGGCAAGTATTCCCTACATTTCTCCATTTTATCTCTGGACCCAGTGATAGACCTATTTGTTGAATGCATGCCATATGCCTAGAACACTGTAATTTTTTAGTTTCAGGAACTTCAACAAAGAAGCATTTTGTATTGCAGGCAATTTATATATATCATCAACATTTAAGACAAGGCTTAATTTGGAACTGTGTCATTGATATTTAGTTCTGTGAATTGATGCTGAGATCAACCTTCAGATAGCATAAAAAGTTTCCATCTTTGTGATACTTGATGAGATAAACTTCTATGTTTTATAGTCCTGAGGGAAGTTACACTGATGATGCAAACCAAGAAGTCCGAGGGCCACCCCAACAACATGGTCATCACAATGAGTTCGATGATGAATTTGAAGATGACGATCCCTTGCCTGCTATTGGACACTGCAAAGCTATCTACCCTTTTGATGGTATGATTTTCTTTTGTATTTGATAACATTGGTTCCTTAAAGTCTGCATACACTGAAACATGTACTTAGGTGTCCTTAGCTAAATAATACATTGTCAGAAAATTATAATTCCAGCTCATTAGTATGAATATTTTTAACTGTATTACAAATAGAGGTTTTTCTTTTATACATGACACTGAAAGAAAATTACCGGTGTTATCAGCATCCCAGTACAGATTTTTATTTGACTGTCAACTTTGGTTGATACAGAATTTAATTTCCCCCAGAGATCTTACTAATGCTACATGTAATCACTAAAGTTGAAGCAGCTTGAGCAGGTGGCTCAGAACCTAGGAAGTGGAAGTCTAGTGGATGCCACTATAAGCTCTTCCTTGTAACTTGCTAACATTGAGAGACAGGTACAAGGCAAATGGCATAGCTAAATGTCCTTATTATAGCTTGACTCTGTAGGTCATATTTTCCGGTGAGAAAAGGAGAGAATGTAGTAGCTTCTGAACTATGCCATCCTTCCCCTGTGAGAGGTGGGGAGCAATCCCTGTGAGGGAAGGAAGACATTGTGGTTCTCTCTTGCAGATTTTTCTGCTTGTGGACTGTGAAAAATCCTTTTCCTCAATTCTGAGGAGCAGAGTAACACTTTCACAAATAAATTGTTATAAAATGGCATATGACTTAAGGTCCTTCCCCACCCATCCGTTGTATTAATTTTAAAGTTGAGTAAAGTTTTTAATTACTCCTCATTCTGAGAAAATAATACTGAATGAGGGCTTGCTATAATGTAACCTAGAGGATTTAACATGTTAAATGAAGACTGATTTGTGAAAACTGTTACTGCTAAGCGGGTTGGGAGTGGTTGGCAATGGGGAAGAAAGAGAGCCCTGAGGTTCATGAGGTTTTGAAGGAAGTTTGTGCTTTGTGGCTGTGACTATTCTGCTTTCACCATCACCAGAGGTGAACCTGTGTTTTTGTCTGCTCTCTTTCAAAACTATATTCTTCTTTCTTCCCGCCCTCTCACAGTCTTAATATTTTCCTGATTTACACGTCATGAATTTTCTCGACAGCAATGCCACTCAAATTTGGGAAAAGAGTTGGAGAAGTGAAATAGGAGTTAGAATATCCTGTCAAATCATATAATGTCATTGAGCTCAGATACTTCATCTGTTATATGGCGGTGATATTAATAATGCCAGTTTCTCAGGGCCACTGTCCAGTTCCAGTGAGATAATGTTATGTATGAAAGTGTTGGATAAACTACAAAAGCATTATAGAGCTGTTGCTAATAATATCTTGTCACTGGGCTCTTGGTTCTAGGTATGTTGAAATCTAGCAGAGTTTCATGTTGTTTTGTATTGTGTTTGTAACTTTTACTCAAAATTATTACTTTAATTACACTTGTGCTGTGAAAATTCTCATTTAGGACATAATGAAGGTACCCTGGCAATGAAAGAAGGTGAAGTTCTATACATCATTGAGGAAGACAAAGGTGATGGCTGGACACGAGCTCGGAGACAGAACGGTGAAGAAGGCTACGTTCCCACATCATACATAGATGTAACTCTAGAGAAAAACAGTAAAGGTGCAGTAACTTACATCTAAACTAACCAGGCAGCTTTGTGACATGTATGACATAGGAACAATAATGGAAAATGGAAACACAATCAATGGGTGGGAAAACATAAGAAAACTTAAAGAGCATCCAAGATACATTGTTCACTATGTGAGCTGAGTGTAGGCTCTATCTTAAAGATGTGAATAGTACCACAAGAAACCGTTCTCATGATGTTTTACCATTTGAGTGACATTGGTGTGAAGCTTAATTGATGCCTTTTGCTTTATGTCGTGCTTAAGTCTCTGTGAAAGATTTGTGCTTTTCTGCCTTATAAGTTATAGAATTTGATCTTTGGGCAGGAATCCATAGATAGAAAGCCCTCTTCACCTAACACACACTTTGCTTCTGAAAACACAGTGACTGTAGTGAATTTAAATAAGTAAAACTGCTCTGAAATGCTATAGAAAGCTGGCTCCCAAAAGAGTGGTTTAGCATAGGAGTTTGAGTTTTTCTAGCTACAGTTTTTAGGAAGAAAAGTCATAGTTGGCTTATTGAAAGAATAAGAAATACAGTCATTTTCATTTTCCTCCCTATTCTTTGCTTTGGTTTCCTAAAGGAAGAAAACAAGCACCTCAAACGTAAATCTATTTCAGTAGTAGGCTAATCAAGAGACCTGCAAAATAAGCCCACCTGGCCCAGCTCTTGAGTGAATAAAATGGTTTTCTTCTGAGACCTGAAAATATTTTCATCTAGTATACTACAAATTTTTAATAATGTATAAGCTTCCTTCCAAATTAATGCTTGTATTTTTCATCTTGAATATGTCTTTGGGGAAATACCGTTTTGGTGATTGTTTAGCATTTAGCAGTTATACGTAGGAAAATAGATTCTAAGTACACTGAGAGGAAATCTTGAATGGAAGGCAAGTCCTGGCAAATTTTACTTTGAAAACTTTTGACTGACTGGGTTGAATGACTATATTATCTTTATCACCATTTAGGGCATTTCCTCATTTTGGCTAAATCATCAATTCAAGATTATTTTTTCCCATTAATTTCAACAAGCATTTGTTGGAAATACTGTACCGTAAAGGATTGTGCAGTTCTGGTCATGTGGGGAAGTAAAGTGAGGAAGCACTTAAGAGACTGGTCCTTTAAGTTTGCTCATGTCCCAGATTTTTCTGGTGTTCTCACATAGCTGACTGTAAAATAATTTTAGGACACTTTGGGGACAGACACTTTAAACTGAACACCCCTTTTGGTCTTACCAAAGGTCTTCAGTAATTGTTCTTTTCTTTTTCCTCCTGGACTACAGGTTCCTGAAGAGGGTTTCTGAGGAAATGGGCAAGATGTTGAAGGAGGTTACATGCAGCTGCTTTTAGGGGGAGGGTATTAGAGTTGTCAGGCTCAAACAGAGAGTGAGAGAAGCAAGTTGCATGAGTGCATGCAGACGTTTTTTGTTTTGTTTTTTTTAAACTAACTTCATTATCATTTCCATACATTGTTTTAAAAAATCACTGTAATACCAATCCTTAAATTGGTCATTCACAATTATTCACATAAAGGGAACAAGCCGAAAATGGCTAACCTTTTTTTCCATTTCTTTTACTGATGTCTAAATCAGAAAGAATGCAGAGCTCTCATTAAATTTGTCTTCTCTTTGGCTGTCCCAACAGGACTGTCTATCCCAGCTCTGTTCTAATTGGCTTTTAGACCCGTCGTCTGTTAGAACCCTTGCCATTTGTCAGTGTCTGCCTGCGCCACCTCTGTGCTTGCTTAACATCCTGTTGCATGTCTAGAGTGATTGGGCTAGATTTTTCAGGCATGTCTTTATAATCCCTTGTTCTCGTCAAAGCCTTTGTTTTGTTTTACATTTGTAGTGCAAGTCACTTTGTCAGACATCTCCAGCACTAATGTTTCCATCCTAGTATTCGTGTACGCTGCTATAACTTCCCCACTACAAACATTCCAGTTTGGGCATGATGAAGAAGTAGTTTGTGGACCTGAAGTGTCTGTGATAAGAAAAAGAAAACATCTCTGCTCTAGCCTACAGCCCGGTTGAAAGAACTCTGAAACGTGATCCATCTTCACCTCAGTCTGGGAAGAATCTATAGTCAGCACTGAAATCCTGGCATAATAAACACACAAGATCCTCACCACCTCAAGACACAGGACTGTTGTCAGAAGTCAGCTGCTTCCATTCAAATGCTGCCTTAAACTAGAGTGCCTAAACCTGTCGATTGCCAACACTACCACTACAGTATCCCACAAAGGGCTTTATGTGTCAGCTTGGTGCGACCTCCTTTAACTCGGCACCGCTGCCGCGGGTGCCGATGTAGCCTTGGTAGGTGGCTTTTAGAGCTCTACCATGTGTGATGGTGCATCTTCAAATTTATGCATCAGACTAAAGACATGTCCAAGTCCATTTTACTTTACTCAGTGTTTTTAGGAGAAGTTTTATGGACCCCCCCCCCCCCCCCCCCCCCCCGCCTCCCCGTTGTGTTTTAATTTGGGGTGACCATGTTCTTATTAAAATGGTAGTCTGTTCCCAAGTGATGCTTTTGTTTCAACCAGATAAAATTTAGTGAAACTTTGTAATGATCTATGTGCACTTTTACTTGTACAATGGAAATTCCTGTTTGTTTATACTTGTAAATATAATTGTTGTTAGTGCGCCTGTTGCTCATGTTGTCCTGCCTCGCATTTGTGATTCTGTTAATGACTTGTATCTTAACTAATTTCTTAGTAGTGTTTAATAGGGAGATGGGCATGGGTGGGGGGATATTTGTACCACAGAAGCTTCATTAATTTTGTTCTTTACTGTTTTGAGGGAAGAAAGAACGTGAAATGGGTCTGTGTATTACTGGATTTTAAGCAATATTTTAGAAGCTGTGTGACTGCTTTAATAATTCTTTCCCAGTGTTATTTGAATCCTACTAGCAGTTATACTAAAGCTGAATGACAATTGTGTGAAAGTTAATGCCTTCATAAGATCAAGTGCACCCCTGTTACACAGCTGACATATAGCGTATTACCTTTGAGGCTAGTAAACTATGAAGTTTAGATTTTGAATCTCTTTACAGGGTTATTTATATAATGTGACATTATTCAATACTGACAGACTACATAAAGTAGTTTTAAAATCTAGTGCTATTTTTATTTTAAAGGTTAGCAATGAGGAGGAAATGTGATCTGGCTGTGTTTGTCCTCTGTACAAAGCCTGAAGTGCTTGTGTTTTTTTGGCTGACGGCCACAGAGGGCAAAGTTTAAGGCTTTCTTGTAAGGACTAACTGTTCTTTTCAGGCTACTGTTTGTTTTTCTCAAAGCAGGATTTGCTTCCGTAGGAGGCAAGGTCCTTCACGTGGCATAGTGCAACCTGTACGTGGGTTATTACAATAGGACAGACATTTGTACTTGCACAGTTTAAATCATTCTTAAATCATTCTTAAATTTTGAACATGTGAATTGTCCAAAAGAAATCTTTAATTTTTCAGTAATTTTTACTCTTTTTGTGCACATGTTGATTTCTTAATGGTAAATGCTTTGTTTAAGATAGTGTTCTCTGTTGAGAATATTTTCATGGAATAAAACAATCTTTTCATGGTCAGTTAAGGTGTATAGTGTGTTATCTATCTCTTATTCCTACGTGAACTAAAGAGATGTCATTATTTTGTTCTTTGGTGTGCTAAATGCCTGATGATATAAAGTAGATGACGAGTTCTATAAGTGGAAGCATCTGTGTTGAGTGACTTTTTTTGCAAAGCAGTTTTGGAAATTTTATTTTAGTTTTAGTTTCTTTCAAGCTTTTCTAAAGGCGGGGGGGGAGCTGTTTCTTTAGAGTAAATTTAAATTGAGTGTGGTAATTTGAACTTTTTATCTTTATTCTACTGTAGCTGTGTTGCACAAACTTTCCTTTTAAACCGTCTTCTCCTCTGCGTCCATAAGAAGTGACCCTACGCCACATACCTCAGTCTGCCCACAGGCTGGACAGCATTTACTGTGCTTCTGCTTGAATTCCTGGTCAGAGAGCACCTGGTCTTCCTGGCATTTCAAAACTTGGGAAGGTATTGTTTGCTACAGTTAGTGTCACATCTGTTGTTTTAGGTAATCTTAATTGCAGAAGATTCAGCTTTTTAAAGGGGCAAATATGAAGCTATGACTGTTAACTTCTAGAAACCCCAAAAGAGAATAAAACTCAGGGTTAATCCTGAACAAGGAGGGGTCTCTGTTGTTGTGATTAATAGAGATCTATGCCAAGCTTGGAAGTGGCAGGAAAACAGTGTCAGTAACAAAAACTCAAAACAATGAAAAGGGCTTTTGCTATCTGAACTGAGATCAGGGAAGTCAAATCCAACTTGCTAGGGAAAGATAACATCCCTGTAACAATCTCAAGAGGAAAATGATCTCCAGACTTGTTGAAAAGGATAGATTTTCTTTGTGAGAAGCTATTAGTTTAGATGAAAAAATCTAAAGAAACACCAAACCTATTTCAATGAGCTCATCATATACCTGGGGTCAAATGCATTCCTGACTATAGTTACTGTGAGTAAGAAACTACAGAAAATAGAAGAGGTGCCAAGAGATTAGAGATGGAAAAATACAGGTGAGGAGTAAGTTCTGAAAAGTTTGACGACTCTTAAAAGTACTTGACAATTTTGTCAGCATTTAAGAGAAAATGTGATGGACAACTGACCTAGATCCTAAGCTAAGAACAGGCCATATCAAATTAACCTCATTCCTTTCTTTAGATACAACTGGGAAACTCAACGGACATGAATGTCTTGATTCCAGCACAGTTTCAGCATTTGACAGAATTTCTTACTCATTCTTGTAAGGTGGTGATAGCATTATTGTAGAAAATGGGAGCTTGCAATAAAGCTGACTTAGTAAACCCAGAATATCAACCCTGAGGAAAACTTCTTGTGGAAGATATGTATGAACCATACATAATAAATGTAAATCTGCCACCCAACTTAAATAGAAAATTATCCTCTTCCTCCAAGGATAACCACTATCCTGAATTTCTTCGTTTTTCTTAGTTTTACCAC